GTTGGTTGTGCTGCAGTTAGGAGACTACTTTTCCTCCAAGTAGGATAATTTTCTGGAAATGTCTTTTCCCAAGTGTCTTCTGTCTGGAGCACAGTCTGTGTCCATTTCTCAGAGATTGGTCCTCATTTTCCCCTTCACTGCCTTATGTGATCTCGAATCCTCACCTTAAGATCCTAGGATCTTCTGAAGGTAACAACTGAGCTGTGTGGCCCCCAGGAGCATGGTGTGAGTTCATCCGGGTCCCCTCCTGTCCTCCAGTCCTCCACCATCTCCCCCTCTGTGCTCCCTCCACTGTGTGCCTGTGGCTTCTTCTGCACCAGGAAGCAGGGCTCACCTGTGATTCTGGATCTTCCTGTCTGTCCAGGTTTCTTTATGATTATTCCATCTGCAGTTTTATTTCCTTCATGGTCCTCTGAACAAAATGTGATGTTAATTTTTCCAGAATTTTATATACTTGAATTGTGAGTCATGAATTTCATTTGTTTTAAAGATTGGAACAAATGCCAGAGGCACCTTCAGTGGCCAAATCTGAACTCTTACTTGAGTCAGGTTCTAAGATCAGTAATTATAAATGACATTTGCACAATCGTGACTGAACACTGAATAGCAGAAAAGAAGGAAACAGAAGAAGACCTACAAAACCTTTCAGAGTTTGCTGGAATCTGAGGTCCAACAGGGAGCATCTGGCTACATCTCAGGTGAGGCCATATCTGGAAAATGTCCATGTCCTGGGTTGCAAACAACAGGTGCAGCTGGGACATCACACCAGGAACATAAACCCTCAATATGCAAACGTCAACAGTGAACACATCAGTGATGATTCTGGTCCAAGTGAGGTGCAGAGCAGGGTGAGGAGGTGGAGGTGCATTTGGCCTCCCAGGATGGGTGTGACTGTGATGTCCCTGGTCTTCCCCGTGGGATTTTTGTCTGTGTGAGAACGTCACCTCCACTCCGCCTTCAGGAAGCCTACATGTGTGGGTGTTGGGTGTGTAAATGGCTTTCTTCTCTTCACTATGAAACTACTCACACAAAACCATAGCCAGAAGAGTGACATTATTAAGTAGAGAGGTTTATTTGATCATTTCAGAAAAGTTTAATAGTACACATGTGATGGAAATACAGAATTAACTGAGCTAAAAGTGAGATAAATATAGAAAATGTACAGGGCCGGGGATTTAGCTCAGAGTGCTGCCACCTGCCTTGCAAGCACAAGGATCAGAGGTCAATCCCTGGTACAAAAAAAAAAAAATCATTTATAGATGAAAGTCAGTACTTCAATATGTACTAAGGTGATTAAATTTAACAGAGAATGATTACTTTGACTTGGATACTTCATTGCAGCTCATGCACTGCAGGGCCTCCTCAGGTCATGTGTGAGTACAGAAGGGAAACCCCAGAGGCCATCAGGAAGCCCTCACTCCTCTGCTGCCTTCTCTGCACCTGCCCCTGGGGCCCTGCCTGGTTCTCCATGGACTACAGCGACGCCTGCTGGACTAGCGCGCCCCTGCAGGGAGGTTTGTGTGTGGGCACACACTGAGGTCCCCTCACTGTGTCTCTTGCACAGTAATACACGGCCGTGTCCTCGGTTCTCAGGCTGCTCATTTGCAGATACAGCGTGTTCTTGTTGTTGTCTCTGGAGGTGGTGAATCGGCCCTTTACGGAGTCTGCGTAGCTTATGTAACTACTATCACTATTGATGTAGGAGATCCACTCTAGCCCCTTTCCTGGAGCCTGGCGGACCCAGTTCATGCCATAGTTACTGAAGGTGAATCCTGAGGCCAAGCAGGAGAGTTTCAGGGACCCTCCAGGTGGCACCAAGCCTCCCCCGGACTCCACGAGCTGCACCTCACACTGGACACCTGCAGACACAGAGACATTCTGCTCAGGAGACTGTCACACTTGTCTACTGTTTATCTCACTCATGTACACTCACACACTCAGTATCTTTTGCTCTAAATAATTTACCTTTCAAAGTTGCAAACAGGAAAACCCAACACATGGTAAGCTCCATGTTGCGTTGCCTGTGTTCAGTCCTGATCACCAAGTGGGAGGACCTGGGGATCCAGGGCTGGGCTCTCTGCAGAGCTGCAGGGTCAGAGCTGGCTGGTTTTCATCAGTACAGGGAGGCCTTATTTGCATGGCCTCCTGCTATATAGACAGCTCTGGGGATGGATAACTCAGAGAGGGCAGGGCCCACATCTGATGAGATTGTGCCTTGGAAGTTTGACACCAATGAATTCATTCAAAAGAATATGAAAACTCACTGTGAGATGATGTTTGGTATTTATCTATCTCTTCATCTACTTTTATTTTTCATGTACACAAAGCACACACCTCTCTATTAAATTTGTCTGCTTGGAAACATGTAAAATTATGAAAGTGTGGGACACAGTTTCCTCTTCTATAGCAGAGCTGATGCACTGTAAATGCTCTCCCACTGTCTGGGCCTAGGCTCTCCGAAGTTGTGAACAAACTGCTTCCTGTTCCAGATCCTGGACAGAGAAGGGCACCTGGTGATGTTGCTTTTCCCCGCTTCCGGTGCTGAGCACAAGTGTGACTTTGCTGAGTTTTGCTGTTTGCTGAGATGAAACAGAGCCAGTGTTCATGTGGATGCCTGTCAGGGAATCTCTCATTTTCAACTGTCATAAACTCTCTCACTCTTTATCTATATTTAGAGATAGTTTATCCGTGACAGCTTCATCGGATAGAACACGTAAACTGCCCAGCTATGAAGTGTGCACCTGAGAAGTATTAACACACATGGGCTCTTCTGCAAGCACACACGGATAGAGCAGGGAACACACGTGTCATCCTGCAGTGTTTCCTGGGGCTCCTCTGCCATCCCTCCCTCCTGCTGCTTCCCTCCTGCATCCTATCTCCAGGCAGTTCATGACCTTCACGTTGCTTTACACTAATTTTGCTATTTCAACATTTATACAAAGCGCACACACCCTACAACTTTGTTTATGTTTGACATAGACTGTTTATTTAAAATATCTACACACAATTACGAGAGTCAGCATGCTTGGATATTTATGCTGAATAATTTCCTAATACATGAAAACAGAGCTGTGGATACAGCTCAGTGGTGGGCTCCTTGCCTACTGATTGTGAGGCCTTGATTTTCATCCCTAACATGGAAAATTACTCAGAAAGTTAACAATCAGACAGAAACAAAATATAAAACACTTCCGTTGAACTTTTCAGTTGGTCTGCTAATGCTTATTTAAATGTTCTCAGCTTCTGGCTGTTACAAAGCAAGCTGCTCATCATCTTGCAAATGCAGAGGCATGAAAAAGTTGGTCTCTTTTTTACAACACAGAGCACAACCATAACCAAAAAAACTGGATTAACTATAAGTTAATAAATTTATAAGCACATCAAAAGAATGAAGTGACAAGGCAATAAAAATATGGAAGGGTGGAGGGGGTAAAGACAGGGCCAGGGGATGGGAAAAAATGAGAACCAAGATGCATCATGTGAAGGTACAAGATCCCAATGATGAATGTAACTCTATTGTATACCTATAATGTACAGATAAATTTAATGAAAAAAATATTGAATTTGGAAATACGGAGCTCACATAAGAAAATAAGGGCAAAACTTATCTGTCTAGGGTGAGGTCACCCTATTCCATGTAATAAGAAGATTAAATTGGTAGCAACTCATTGATTACTAATGGCGGAGTGTGCTGAAGCATGAGAGTGTGAATTTAACACATACACAAACTGGGGAGGAGTGTGTTCTATTACTGCTGCTGCAAAAACACCACACAAGGAGCACCTTACAACAAATACAGGCATTTGTCGTATTTGTGGACATAGAGTTTTAAGAACAGGCAATGACAGATTTGGTTTCCCTAGGGGGATAACTGTGTGCTCCCAGACCTTGTCTAATTTCTGCACTGTCATGTGGCAGAAGAAATGCACACTGTGTCCCTACATTGCAGGGAAGCAGAAAAAGAGATGAGCTCATGTCTCGGGAGTCCTGATCTCAACTAAGAATCAAGTCTCTCTGGGCAAATTTCCCAAAAAAGATGCCATATATTAATTATATCCACCAGGGAATGGATTAATTACAATATATAAACTCTGAGGAGCCCATGGTTTCCAATCATAGTTTTCCATTCTGTCCTCCCTCTTCCATGTGTTTATCTCTTATTAAAATCATTTTATTCCTTCATAATTACTCCAAAGTTTTAAATCACTTTGGTACCATTTTAAAAGCCTGATGTAAATGCCACCTAAGTAAATTATGGGTGAGATTTTGCAAATGACTCTTCCCAGTTTGTAATCTTGAAATTAAACAAGTTGCTTCCCAAATACAGTGCTGGGCCTTCCATAGTGTGCATATCCCCAGTCTAAAGAACTGATTCAATGGGCCGGGGATTTAGCTCAGCGGTTTGGTGGCCTGCCTTGCAAGTGCAAGGACCTGAGTTCAATCTCCGGTACCAAAAAAAAGAAAAGAAAAAAAAAAACTGATTCAAAGGAGTAACAAGTATCAGTAATAACCAAAACATCCGGTACCAAAAAAAAGAAAAGAAAAAAAAAAACTGATTCAAAGGAGTAACAAGTATCAGTAATAACCAAAACCTGACTGGACCAATGTTTACCCTAAATGACCCAGAGTAATTCCCTGTGACTTTATGTCACTGTGACTTTATGTCACATTTCACATGGTCCTGTCAAACCCATCTCATCTTTTGCAGAGTTTAGCTCCTACAAGAGTTCACGTGGGTGTGAGCTGGAGCCTGCAGTGTCACACACCAGCTTCGCATCCTGGTGGTTCTGCAGTTTTGTGACAAATGGGGCAACAGTTTGCAAGGTCTACAAGGCACTGCTCTTGGGCACCTCTCTTGGTGGCTCTCAGCCCACACTTGTGCTGCCATTGCCTTTGTGGAGGGTCTCTGCAGCTTCTGCCTTCTATAGAGGTTCCTACTTGTGCCTGCAGATGTCCAGGTCTGCTTTGAAAGTCAGATGGAGGCTTCCATGGCCACAGTGCTTGGACTTGGTAACTTGCAGAGAGTTCGTCTAATGGACACCATGGGCCTACAGGGTCTGTGCAATCCACAGTGTCAGCCATGGAGGCCCATGTTGTGCTTGGACACACAGGAGCCACACGTGTGGTGACTCAGGAATGTGGTCCCCAAATATATGGGGCTGACCCTTGAGGAAACCCTGAGAAATGACAGCATGATCATCTATGGCTGTCATGACTTCAAGTCCGTGTGTTCTAGGCTTGTGTGGGAGTAGAAGACTCTAAATACCATTGGAATCACTATTCTCTTTTCCTGTTCAGCAGCATTAGGCTTGTCTCAGTCTATGTCACTCTCCTTATCACAACTTCCTTATACAAGACTTCAGTGTTGGCCCTAAGAAATCTTTGCTCTCTTTATGACATGGCCAGGCTGTGAAATTTCCAAATGTGTAGGTTTTCCTTTCCTTTTGAATTGATATTCTGCTATATTCTATTACTGTTTTCACTATTTTATCATTAAAAATGAAGAAAATCCATTTACAATGCTTAGCATGTAGTTAGGAGATTTATCCCGCCATGTCTCATGGCTTCCTGGTAACTTTTGACATTCACCATACACCTGGACATAAACACCCTTTTTTCCCCATTGGATGCAAAGATGTCTTTTCCCTCACTTTCCAGTACACTTCTCCTCATTTCCATCTGAAGCCTCATCCAGATTTCTTTCATCAGCCTGAATCTGCCCACATACTGATCCTGCCCACATACTGATCCTGGGCACTGAACTATCACAGCTCTGCTCCACACGGCAATGTGTCCACTGAGGATGGGCAGCTTGCATGGCCAAGACTGCAAGGAATGAGCCTCTCCCTGAGTGCTGTCCTAGATTTGCTAATATCATAGGCACTGCATTGTCAATGTGCTTGCGGTGATTCTGGTGTAAATAAATGTACTGCTGTGCTTGACACGTAAATCACGTCACATCCAAATGTCTTCTCTCCATACTGGATGATATTAAAAGTGGCCATTACTAGTGTCTGTATTCACTGTATTCGCTGGTGAATTCAGGGTACTCCTTCTGCTTATAACATCCTTTTCCATACAGCACTGAGCCACATTTCATTATTCACAGTTGCTTACTTTTCAAGGTTATCACCACTATTTATTCTATAATTTTCCTTTGTCTGCATTTTAATATTTAGTAATGAATTGAATATTTTGTCCAACTTGCCTCCTGATGACAATACACTCATGGCTAAGGATTCCAGGAAGAGGTCATGTTAATGACCGGCCTGGAAAAGAAACAAAAGTGATTATGTTGACAGATGGGGAAAAATCAGCGATGTTCATTGGTTTCCTGTCAGGAACATCTCATTCCACCATAGAAACAACTCGGGAGGACAAAAATGAAATGGTATAGATGATTAAATAAACAGTGTTACTGAAGACAGTAACACTTTGAAAAGAAAAAGGAAAATCCCCCAAATGACACATAGGGAAATTTAGCATGACTATGATTAAAGACTACACACAGGACTGTGTCTTTCTGTCCACTGTGATCATGGTTAATGGAAAAAAGGTTGTTTGGGATGTGGAAAAAAGGCCAGAGCTGACTGTGATCCTGAGTTTGATGCCAGGTCTTGTTGGTTTAACAATCCCATGGTAATTATTGATTGCATAATTATGCAATGTGAGAGCGAGGGGTGCGTTTCTGAGAGCTGATATGGAGGCAGATGAAGAATGTTTGGTGACTCTAGAGAAGATCTCTGAGGAAGGAAAATCTTCACAGGAAAAAGAATCTCCCTAGGAATGAATGTAGCCTCACTATTTGGAAATGTATCCTTCTAAGGATTTTCTCCCATAGTAAGTTTAAGATAATGTCAGATTTCAAGGTATTAGGAAGAGTGCAACAGTTTTTTTGAGGGCAAACCATACTGGGGTCAAAGTTGCATTTTTCAAATGAAAGCCCTTGTGGCAGAGGGGCATGGAGAGGAGGCTTGCTCACAGCATGGCAGAGAGGAAAATGGGGGAAGGCAGTATGTATTCCATTCTAGGCCATCCCCACAGCAACCCACTTCTTCCCACCAGGCTTTACC